GAGGCTACTGATAGTAACAAAGATGCAAATTATATGTTATGTATGTTTCCTGGTTGGTAATATTGTAGTTGAAGATCTTATGTTCTGTAAGAATATTACCGAAAGCGTAAAGGCTCGACTTGTTCGAAATACTTGACAAGTTTATAATGGAAAATGAGTTAGTTTGGAAATAGTGTGTTGGTGTATGTACTGATTGCTCTAGATTAGTGTTCGATCGCTAAGAAGGACTGCAGACACTTATTTGCAGCAAAACGCCGCGTCCTGTGGGAAATACAGGGAAGCACTTACATTAAATTCGCTCATTCCTCACTTGAATTTGGCACTGTAATGTGTCATAAACGTAGTAAACTACATAAAAATTACTCCGCTGAAAGCAAGTGTTTTAAAAAAGCTGTGCTAGGACATGTAAGTTGAACACACAGCCTTGCTATACTATTTCAGTTCACGATAGCGTTCGCGAGGCAATGTCCTGTCTCATGCGTTTGAGCTGCATCAAGAAATTCACACATTTCTTCAAGAGCAAGGTCATGTGATCGCTAAGTATTTTGCCGAACTAGACATTTTGCTAAAACTAGCATGTTATTGTGACATATCTTAGAAACTAAATGTCTTGAATCTGTCTCTACAGGGCGATGTAAGCACATCTTGTAGAAAAGATTTCAGAGTTTAGAAGAAGCTGCATTTGTGCATAAGAAAGTTGAATGACTTAGGTGCTCAAGGATGCTTTTCTACATTGTACCAATACACAGGTTCTAATAAATTTGTTGTTCTACAGGAATTTCTGTCCCTTTTAATGGAATACCTCTCAAAGCTCACTAACTGGTTCACAAATTACTGTGCGAAAGATAATGTAGAGAAATTTATGTTGATATAAGATTCTTTTCATTTGATGAAGAGAGTTTAATTGAACATTTTTGCAATAACATTTTGAAAACAAAATTTGCTCGCTCAGATTTAATGTAATTTTGGATCTCAGTCAGAATTGAGTATTCAACTTTAAGTTCTAAAGCTCTAAGGATCTTCATTTCCTTTGCGAAATCCTATCTACGCGAAGCGGGAGTTTAATGTGACACTGTATTAAGGACCAAATACCGTTCGAAAAACATTGTGGACCAAGAAATGAGAATAGCTGTATCAAGCCTTCTTCCGCAATTTGAAAATCTGTGTGGTATGAACAAGCTCATCTGTCACAGTGACTTCCTAATCTGCCACAGAAGGCTTCTTTCATTTGTATTTAATTCGTATGTTTTCTTATCAGTTAAAATTATACTTTTCACTAAAATTCGCTTTCATTTCTGTGCCTGATTAACGTTGTAGTAGAAATATTGCAACTGGGGCGCTGTGGAAAAATAACGTAACCACAAGTGCGCCGTGTATTAAAAAAGTTTGGGAACCCCTGGAATAGAAAAAATCGAATGGAATAGAATACAATATAGGATAAAATTTAATATACTATAAAATTAGATATTCAATAGAATATAGAACAGTACAGATTATTAAGTAGAATTGAATAGAATAGGAAATTAAATAGAATAGAACTGGATATAGAGTAGAACTGAATATTCAATGGAATATAGAAGAGAATATTGAAATAGAATAGAAAAGGAAATTAGAAAGAATATAAAATTAAACAGAATAGAATAGACTATAGAACAGAATAAAAATTTGAATAGAATAGAATAGAATAGAGTAGAATAATAATAATAACTGTAATGTATAATATTTTATTTATTATATATTATATCATCTTTATTATTAAGTGATCTTGAGGCTACCTCTTTGACATACTTTGACATTTGACATTTGGAGGTCACAGATTTAGACCAATCATATCCGCCTCAGTGGGTGATGCATTTTTGATAAGTGGCGTGCTTTTGTTCGACAGTGACCGTTGCATCACAGCTGCTATCCATAGCATGGACGATCGTTAACAAGTAATGCTTTGGAGTACCACCACACCATCATGCCAGGGGTTATGGCTGTATGCCCTTGTAAAACAAAGTTTGACCCGGACATCTGGTCCCGTCCTCTCCAGACACGAACACGGTGGTCATCTGCTTCAAGAGTGAAGCGGGATTCATCGCTGAACACTATACGATGCCAGTCTGATGGCAGCCATGATGAGCGGCTGCGACTCCACTTCAGATGACTCCGCCATGTCGTGTAGTCAAAGCAAACGTCTTAAAGACCTCTGTGAGCGTAACCCTGCCTCAGACAAGCGCCGTAAGATGGTGGACGGTACCTGACTGTAGTGACTGTAGTGCGATACCGTTGGGGCACTTCGGGCATGGCGAACAATCATCCTATCTTGCCTCGCATTTTGTGCTCCTTGGCCTTCTAAAATCTTCATTTCGTCGGCAATTTCCTTGTGGCAATCATTGCTGCCAACATCTTTGCACAACAGTGTCTGTACGCCGCAGGTAGTAGCCTATTGCTCGGTATGACCACCCAGCTTCACGTAACTCTAGAATGCGACCACGTTCGAAGTCATTTAGTTGTTTGTAAGGTCTTCGATAACGTCGTAATGGCATCTTTAGTTGCTTCTTTACGGAATTACAATGGCAGCAACAAAAAAAAAGATAAATTTTCCGTCTCTGTTACTAGTTTTATATTTTGCGAGTTACACGCTAGAAATGCGCGCTATGATCGCAATTCCTGTTCATTTGCCTTGAAACCTTAATCATTTGCATGTTCAATCAAGATGATTTTGCATACCACATTTCGTCGCGATCACAAACGTCCTTCTTGGTGCTTCAATTTTTTTTTTTTTTTTCAAAAGAGTGTAGTATGGTTTTTATTGTTACTTCCGGAAAGCCTGAATTGGAAAAGTCGGAAGTGAGACATCACGTTGGCCAACGTGCATTTTGAGTTTGAGATCACTGGTCTAAGGAACCGATATTACATAATATTTTAAGTTATGAAAAATCGTATTTCAAAACCCTCAACAATTTATACTCTAAATTTGTCATAATCCTTAAACGCCTTTATTTCAGCTCCTTCCTCTTCAAGAATGGCTCCCATTAAAACAAATTTCTTGTACGAATAATAAAACGCTTTTCTTTCTTATGATCCTTCTCCAATAATAGCATTTTATTCTGTCTTTATTTTTGAGATTCTGAACTCCAAAAAGCATAAATCTATTAAGTACTCATACGACTCATAACAATCTGATATTAAGCTGACGCAAATAATAAAAGCTGATATGGCAGAAGAAAAAAAGAATGGCTGAGATTGTGTATTTAATTAAATATATTTTCGAAGATTATTCCTAGCATTACTTTTTTTTTTCTCTTCAGCGAAGAACTGAAATGTGATTTGCTATTCTTCCAATAAGCCTCTCGTCGAAAACGCAGTTTCATTTAATGGCTTTTAAAACAACTGCATTAAGCATTTTTACGATTTTTTAAACCAGAATTAAAATATTTCGTGGCTGTGTTATAGCTATCGCAATCAAATATTTCTTAATTAATTCTGAAGGTGTTTGTTTTACTCTCGATCATCGAAATTGTACTCTCGTCTGAAAAAAATTTCATTTTTAATATTATTAGAATAGCATAGAAATGATGTTTAGAAATTTATTTGTTTACTCCTAAAACAAATTTATTAGGGTGTATTCTTACCATCACTTAACTCAATGTAATTAACGGAAATTTCACTTATTTACATTTCCCAATATATAAGTGCGTACCAGCGGCCGAGCAAAACACTGGTAGTTCGGTCCGAGATTTGAATTCCACGAACGGGTTGGTTGCATGCGCGTTTTCGTGTTTTTCCTCAGGTGTAAGAACCAGTTTCTTTTAAAAGTCCGCAACGAAGGCATCCCTTTCCTTAGGCAGATAGCTCTCGAGGGCTTTGCCATAATCAAATAAACCAAACCAAACCGCACATAGGTGTAAGTTTTGGGGAAGAAAAGCGTCCTGTAAAATATCCAGTCGACTTACACGCAAAATATTAAGATATCGTAACCTATTTTAAAATATGATACCCACATCAATGGCAATAATGAAGTTACATTAGGTTATCTAAACATGGCAAAGCACACGAAGACTGCCTGCTTAAGCCGACGGGGGGCCTTCCTAGGGGATTTCCCGGCAGAAACTGTCTTGTATTCGCGTTCATTATACGTGGGAAAAATCACGAAAAACAATCAAGCAACCAACCCGTTCGCTAGCTAAGTCGAATTGCCAATATTCAGTGGTCTTAACCGCTCAGCCGTTGCTGAGATTAATAATTCAATCATTATGAATAATGAAATAATTCTCTGATATTCAGAATAATTCTGTGAAAATGGAGATTTTATTCACAGACTAAATGTAAATAAAATGCAAATATTATAAATAAATTACATAAAATAAATTATAACTTTTTAGTCTTTTTAACAAATTATCAAAATAAATTTGCAATATTCTAACATTATTATAAATAATTTAATTTGTTCTTTATTTAGCATTTATTTTTGTTTTCATAATCATCCAGGTATAATTCCGAAACGTTTCTCTGTTGGAAATGTTTTTGGCTGCCTCCCCCTGAGAAAGACCAAAGATCTTTCAAATATCTGTTTTATTATATGATTTTTATTATATTCTTTTTATTGCGTTATTTTATTGAACTGTTTAGTGTTTGTTCCAATTTTAATATATTGACCTCCTGTTAGACTATCAACCACCAAAATTTTGATTTAGTCATTCAATTATTATATCTTGATTATTTACTCAATTTTGTACAATATAAGACGCATTTAGCAATTTATAATACAAATTTTCAAATTAAAAAAGTATGACGTTCTGGAATAGTGCCGTTGTAGTCTAAAAATGTTTAATTAAAATAAGCGAAATATTATTTAAATTTAACAGGTTTGCAAATTCTTCAAATATGACGCCTCATCTACCTTAACCTTTTCTACGGAAATCATCACATAAATATGACATGCTATAAATTTCTCGTTAGGTTTTATTAATTGTATAGAATTAACACAATATTTCATGTTTGTGTGTTTGTAGGTTTAACAAGTTGCCTCTTTCCGTGTATGGTATACTATTCCTCATAGTTTTCCTGCTAGTTCTTCTTGTCTTAGACAGGCAGGTAAGTAAATTGTAAAGTTAAGAATTAAGTTAGCACAAAATATCCAGCATTTAAATTATAGTTCGGGTTTTAGACAGGAAGATTGGCTTATAAAAAACGCTTGTTACTTAAAATCTCTCGATAATAATTTAAAATATATTTTAAGGAATTACTTACACAATATATCATGATGTAATTCATAAGCCTACATTAATTAAATCTTGAAACAACGATATTTAAAATATCGTTTCTATTGATTATACTCTGTAACGCATTGACAGCTAAATACGAAATTTTAGATAAGCATTTATTTCAGGTTATTCCGATATGTTGAATTAATTACTAAATAACTTATTTTTAATTTAACAGGAAATTTCAAAATACTGAATCTCCACCGGCTGTCAGCTAGCAAACTACATTTACCGACTGTACTAATGGGGTAAATTTTCCCATATAATCCTAGTCATGTGGCCTGACGTACATACATACAGTGACAAAGCCCCAAACTATTCATTCTATCTTTCGTTTTCCATAAAGTCACACATATAAGTTCACTTTATATATCTAAAACTATAAGCACCGTTTTCTAACTAATACACAATTAAAATGTATTCGCACGCCTAGAAAAATTGCTTAGGAGGGTACATGCGTTCCGCAGACTCGAGCTTTGAGACCATAAAAGTAATTTTAATATTCAAAGAGATAAAGGTTTAAGCTATGTTTCAGTTTAAAAATATGATTAAACGAGGGATACTCTTTTAAATAAGGTCCGGTCCCTTTTGCTAAAAAAACGAATCAAAAATGTTTTCAAAAAGCAGCATTTATTTTCTGAAGTTTCACACAATTCTTCGTTTTCATACATATCTTCCTTCTCGATTTAAGCGCTCATTATTCTGGAATATCCTTAATTGTGCAACTTTGCTGCCGGTTGTTATAGCCAGTTACTCGGAATCGTTTTCATTTTTCTGTTTTTATTTCTCCAAGGCATTTCCTTGAATCTGCACTTAGAGCTCATTGCCACTCAATTAGTACAATGGTTAGTGACGCTGACTGCTATACCCATGAACGAGGTTCAAATCCCTAGGAAAGCATGGATGTGTGTAAGCATGTAATGTCGGTGCGGCAAAATTGCACGGCGAGCCAAAGAGGTTAGTGGTAGGGAAAGAGGGATAAGAGACTTTTGGACTGCTGACCGATGTCTTTTTCCTCAAAATGAAGGCCGAAGCTTAGCTAGATTTAGCAATATCCAGTAACATAACTAGGTGCTGACCTTGCTTTTATTTGCATCTGTTTGCGTTAACTGGATCCCAACTTCCTGCTGTAAATCGTCAATGGTTACAGATGGCTGATCTGAGCACAATCATTCATAGATGTTTTCTCGTGCTTCCTTGAGCAGTCTTATCTATTTTCTCTCTTTAATGTTACTTTTGCATTTTCATCGCAGATTTTACACCCATCTGGCGATGAGTGATCGCATCTTTCATGTTTCTGTCCATTAAGAACCGGACGACAGTCCGCTAGGCGCTTGATGTTTTTAAACACATTAACGTCACTCTACGAAGCCTACAAATCAATGTTGGAAAGTCAATTGCGGTCGAATTCCGTGCAAAAAATACCTAAAGCCTGCAGACGCACTCAATCTCACGCACACGCGAAATTTCAAACGAGATTCAGAAACTGATCTTACTTAAAAGAAGACTTCCTGTTTTAACTGAAAACTTTTAGTGCATCTGTATACCATGTTACTATTATTACGCAAATTTAGTTTCACAATTCTTACTTTAATTAAAGATAATTTTATTTCGTAAAAAGGTAAAATTTTAATACGAAAATATAACAAATGTGGAAACAATTTTACTTAGAATTTAAACTTTTATTCTGGTTCTTTTACAGTCGGAATCGACAGCTCGGGCGGATTTTCTGTGGCAGAACAAGCTGAGGGTGGAGCAAGACGAAGTGGAGACCATGGGCAGTATCAATAAAATCTTGCTCGAGAACATTCTTCCAGCTCACGTTGCTCAGCACTTCTTGTCCAACAACAGACAGACAGAAGTGAGCCCACATTTCCGTCCCGTTTTATAGTCTATTACTTTATAATAAGCTCTATCGGTTCTTTTTTTATGACTCACCGGTCACTGAAAATGGCCTCGTTGTATAAGATCGCTAAAGCGGAGTGAATCAAGAGCGCTTAGCTAAAAGGGAACGAAGAGCTCGATCTCTGCTATCCGCTTTTAAAGCAAAGAGCGAAAAGAATCGAACCAGCACTGGGATCGCGAAACGTGAGCGAGGTCGGTGCAAAGACCGAAAAGAATCGAACGAGCGGTGGCGTCGGAAAAATCGACTCAGTCAAATGCTAACTCACTGACCTAATTTTTTTTTCAAGTGCAGTTTTGAGATTCCCTAAAAATCTCTTTTCTACACAGTACTAACAAAACATTTTTCAGAAAGTTGAAAAATTGATAAAAATTAAACTCATTTTCAACGTGGAAGAATAAGTATTTTTTTCTCCCTTAAAATGAGAATTGAACGCGGAAAAAATATCAGATCCTGTGATTGGCTAAAATCTCCGAATTTCTTTCGTGGGATAATGAAACACATGAGGAGTGGGTAGTTATAACTTTAAAATGCCTAATATAACGTAATAGACTATGAGAACAATTTGCGAATAAGCTGCGTTCAAAAAGTATTGAACATTTATTAATAAAAAAGAAAGGAAGAAATTAATTGAACAAAAACATTTCTCTTATCGAAAGTTCATAATTTGGGTTATTAGAAACGGACGTAGATGAAGCATTATTAAAATAATCAGTATGACTGTAAACACAGACATAGATTTATGCCAACCAGGGCCTAAAATTTCCAGGGTGCCCAAGCCTGTAGTGACCAATGGTCAAAACAAAATAGGTTACTGACATCTTCGTACAAGTTGGCGACTTTTCGCCAAGATCAAGACCATTAAATGAGTATCCCGAGACCTATGATGAGGTCTGCATTCCTTTGTTAGAATACTATGACGCATTGCATTTAATCTTATTTAGTAAAGAATGATAATATGCCTTTCAATTGAATAAAGATATGGAGCTATAAATTTAAATTCTTCTGTGCCGTCATTTCATTGCCAAGCTTCATTCATGTGCCTGACTGCCAAAATATTACATATATATATATATATTACTGTGCGTGTATATATATGCTTTTGGTGCATCCAATTGCAACCAAAAAGGGAGGTGCACTTCTACATGTTATAGCAGTCCCATATATAAAATTTCAACGTTCTGAGGCTACTAGCTTTTGAGTTATCAGACGGCACGAAAACATCTCTTCTGAATCCATTTTAAATCCATTCCATAATCCGTTTTGGGAAAAAGATTCCTTTATTCTGTCCTTACGTACAGATGTAACACAGAGAAGTCAAATGGATATCTTCGTTGAAATACAATACCCGAAATTTTTCGCGATTACAATATTTCCTTTACTTCGTACAAGGAAGTAAAAATGAACAATTTACCGACACGTAACAATAAAAAAACCCCACCGAGCCAGGTAACAGAGCAGGAATATATACGTGTATATATAAATATATATTCGTATACGATTCGCTATGTATTCGTATACGATTGGTGCAGCCGATTGCAACGAAAAAGGGAGGTTCGCAATTACATGTTATAACAGTCCCATATACAAAATTTCAACGTTCTACGGCTACTCGTTCTTGAGTTATGCGAGATATATAAATGCATACATAAGCGAAGAAAAAATCTCTTCTGAATCCATTTTACAGTCCGTTTTGACAAAAACGGTCCTTTATTTCGACCGTACGTACAGGTGACAGGTGACGGAGGACGGGGACGCCTGATGTTTAACAGAGGTAAACAGGCATATGTCCCGCGCCCTCCCCTTTCTAGTGGCAGCAACTCCCAGGAGCCTCATGAGGCCACCTTGGGAGTTTATTGAAGAATTTTACGTAATTGTACATGGCCATACAGAAGCGTCTTAGGAATACATTAGTTTTGATCGATAGGCGGATGATTTGTTACATCTTGGTTTTTAGACACTGTTAGACACTAATTACAGGCATATACATACACATACAAGTACATACAATTGCACATATAAGATACATACAAAACACTTGTAAAACACATATAAAAGCACATATATAACACATATAAACACTGTAAGCACATTATATAAAATAGAAATTAGATATACTAGTTTGCACACACACTTATACAAGTAAAACACATACTTATAATGAAACATATTTAAGCTAATATATAGTATACACTTACACTAAAGACACATTTAGATCATTTAGACACATTTAGATCACATATCACATGTAAAATGCGCAAATAAACATACATAAAGCATGCCAGGCCACTGTAGAATATTAATTTTGTTATTAGATGATATAGTAATTACAGATGAAACTTTACTCTGGAGAATACATTATGCAATACGTTATATCAGGGTACACAATACTTATTTAATTTGAATAGATATGCAGCGCTTTTTATATACATAATGCTTACAGAATTGATACACAATGTAAAAACAGATACACTATGCTTGTAAAGCATTAGATATTAGAATTTATACTGCGCACAATTGTACAAACGAAATAAGACACTATACTACTATATCAACAACAGTTATGGTGTACAATTATGCAAACAAAATTATACTAACGTATTAAAACGCAGAATAAAACACTATACTATGGTATATAGCACAATTGTGCACAATTATATAAACACAATTATACTTACACATTAAAAAAAAATCTATACTATTGTATACACACAATTATAGTACGCAGAAGGAACTAATGAATTGCACAACTAGATGATATAGCAATCCCATATGCGAAATTTCATTCCTCTATGGCTAATCGTCTTGAGTTATGCAAGATACACGCTTTCAGACGTCAGAAATCTATTTTACAATCCGTTTTGAAAACAAGTTGTCCTTAATTCTGTTCGTGCGTACAGACATCACACAAAATTGTTGTCAAAACCTTCATTCGAGAATGGTCAGAGTAGATATTTCCGTTGAAATGTTACTCCTGAAATTTTTTGCGATTACTGTACTCTCTTTACTTCATAAAGGAAAGTAAAAAACAAGCAAAATAATAATGTAATTTTAACGTTGAAATTAATGTTTTTCTTCAAGAATACTCGTAAAGGCTTAATTTATTTCCCTTCATGCCGTTTGGACATATTTTACAGTTATTTGCTTGTATACAAGGAAGGGCGACAAGCTGAGGGACTGTCTTGGGCGGCAAAAGCTCTAGCTACAGGCAACGATTATATTCAAGTGAATGTTTGGTACTTGGATCTTCGTTTTGTATAGCTGGGAAGCACAATAAAATGTCAATATAGCACAATTTCTTCATTTCAGGAACTATACCACGAGAGGTATCGTAATGTCGCAGTCATGTTTGCCTCCATTCCGAACTACAAAGAATTCTACGATGAGACAGACATTAATAAACAAGGACTTGAATGTTTGAGGTTGCTCAACGAGATCATCTGCGACTTCGACAAGGTATGTTGACAGACATTTCCTATGTTATTGCATTTAATACTTCTGAAACTAAAATTTCGAAATAATTTCCTTATTAAAAGTTAAATAATACTATATTTCCTCGCACATTTTCCCCTCGTGTATTGCGCCCTTCAACTTTTTCGCTCCAGGCCCTGAAAATGTAAAAAGTATTCTCGTAATTTTCCCCTTCTTCAATGATTTCAGAGAGCGAGTTATTCTAAATTTTAAAATGAATTCGTCCGCTGACTTTTCCCCTCTTTTTAACAAAAACTAACTCTCGCAAATTACCTGCGAAAGTCACGCCTAACCTTTCGCTTCCGACGCTTG